AAACCATTCTGTGATTCTATTATTGTGTAAGAACAGTAGCTCTGGTATCTGAAACAGGATGAGGTTGAGTTTTGGGATGCTCCCACGGTGCACAGATATGGAGCAAGTTATGAAAGAAGGTGCTTAATTTAGAAATTTAAAATGTATTTACAAGCTTTCACTAAGAAAAGGAAACAACATAACACTCTCTCCTGGATATACTCTACTCTGCAAAACACTGCAACTGAAGATCATTAATTTACACATTTTACAGATTTATCTTTGTATGCAACAGCGAACGCCTTAGTCATCAAGAAGTAGGAAGAAGAGATGAAAAACTAAGCAGTTTTAAAATTATGAAACTGCTAGGTTCCCTTTGGCCTTCCTCACTTTAAAAGTAAGTTAATATACCTTAGCAGAGGGATAGGCTTACAAGACTTCAGACTTTTCTAAAAAGGTAGACAATCAGCTTTCTTCAATTCAGACCTGCTGTGTAACACTGGACCTAACTCAGCACTCTTGAGTGAGACAAGACCTGTACCAAAGCGACTGGAAATATTCTCTGCAGCAGAACTGCAAGATCATACCCATACTTTTTTAGTAAGCTGTTGATTTATCCAAGGAAGATGGAGGGTGGGGGAAGAAGCAACAGTAACAGAAGAGGCTGTAAATCTGTTGGGTTTTAACAATGAACTGCATTTGGTAAGGGCACACTGTTCCCCTCCCACATTTCCCAAGAAGCTCAGGATACAATGGTTCCCAGCACACTGACCACCACACAGAAGTTCAACACACCTTTAGAAAAGCGTAATAATCCTTGACAGAACAGTAACAAATGCTAATCACCAATATCACCTGCTAGTCTAAATTAACAGAGCGGCCCTGGTTTAGGTACAGCTTTTTCAGATTTTGCATAGAAATTGCACATATTTTCAACCTAATTCACCATGAGCATGAAACATTCTTGATTTGAAAAGTCTATCAAACACCCATGAGAAAAATCTTGTTCACAATCAAAGCAGGATAAGTTGACTTCCAAAGTGAACCGGATTGGACTCCACCCATCTAGTTTTGTCTCCCTCCGCATCACAAGTGTACGTCAGCAATCTGTAACGTTTGTAGAGCCTAATTGGTGTTCTCCTAAATAGTACTGTGGTAGCAATTGAAGTAAAAAAAAACACCGTTGCTTTTCTTAATTTAAAAAGACATTGGGAAGTGTACTGAAGGAAATTAATCCCTGAGTAACAAGACACTTAAAAATGGCATCCTATCAACAATCATTGCAGTATGTCACAACACACACTCCTCACAGGCAACGCTACTAACAAGCGGCAACAGAACTTGTCGGAGTCCAACACATCTGCAGCGCTGTTGCATTGATCCCGTTATCTTGTTTAATGAAACCGCAAGCGAACATTAGGAAATAGGATAAATAGAAACAGTGTCTTTATTATTTTAGGTTGAATGTCAGGCTGACATCTAAACTGCATTGGATCCCCATAAACTCAGTGGTGGTAGTTAGCGACTTGCTTCTTTGGATGTCCAAAAGATTTCGCAATGGTATCTTCAACCAAACAAGAGGAGGAGAACGATTGTAACGGTGTTCACCATTATTAACGGCACTGTAGGGGAAGAAGAAAATGAGAGAGAGCAATTCTGAGCACTTTCTTCAGCGCATCACAAAGTGACAGAACTTAGTCTCCACAGACTACCTGGAAAGGCGCAAAATCAATTAAAATTTAAAAAAAACACTGAATTTTCTTGTGCAAAATTCAGGATGAGTGGAAGAATACAGGATCAAAGCCTAGGATAGTAAAAATTAGGAAGCAAGAGCATGAAAAGAGCATGGCTTTTATACAGCCAATCATGTTACAGCTTTGACCCAAACAATCCTTTCTCCAAACAAAACCATTTCAGTGTTAGTTTCTATCCTTGGCTTTGCTGTAATTCAGAAGAAATGTGTCAGCTTTTTACTCTGTGCAGGGCAAGCCACGTAAAATTTGTTAATTCCTGTTTATCATCACCTACAAAAAGAATTCTTGGTGTGCTCTACAGTGATAAAAACTATCAGTAACTTAGAAGTCTTGTTTTTTCCCCATCCATTGAGGCACACAATTCCTGCAATTCTGAAAGGTAAAGGCTTACCTTTCCCTCACCAGGTGCCTCGCATGAAACTGAATTTAGCCAAGGTGAAGCTAACTGCATGCTCCCATGGATCACCAAGCTTCCCCCCAGCTTCTGAACGCCCAGGAAAGACGCAATGCAGCTGCAGCATCACAAGCCAGAGTCGGGGAATGTTTCACCCCTCGCCAAGCCTAGGGCACGAGCTGGGACCTGTACCTGCCTACACGGAGCCCACAGGGGAAGGAAGAGACCCAAAGGAAGGACAGGTGGGAAGCATCAAGCAGAAATAGCAGCTGTTTGGTAAAAGAGAGCCCAAATACCGATGTTACGCCATTAAAGCACCGAAACAAAACTTTACAGACAATATTGCTTCAAGAGAAAATCATCACCTTACCTCTCATAACGGTCCGTACAGCTCGAATAAGGTTTATTAACTGTGCTTTAATTCCTGGTTCCTCTCCAAATCCTCTAACCCCTTGGTCGCTTCCCCAGCCAACTGCATCACACAAAACCAGTCAGAGATGTTAGGAAAAAACTCCAAAACCACACAACGAATGCTATCAGCACTATTAAGGAGTGAACTGTCTCGCAGTGTTATCACTAACATTAGAAAGACAAACTTATTAGCTTTATTTCATGGTCAGATTATAAAACAGTATATTGAAAACCATTACACCTTTTAACGAATACATCAGTAACGACAAATCAGCGTTTCTGTAGAGGAAATCCTTGCCTTTTTAACACACTCCTATTCCCTGTGTGCTGGGGAAACACGAGTTCATTTGGGCTTCAGAAAATCACTAACATTAGAAAGACAAACTTATTAGCTTTATTTCATGGTCAGATTATAAAACAGTATATTGAAAACCATTACACCTTTTAACGAATACATCAGTAACGACAAATCAGCGTTTCTGTAGAGGAAATCCTTGCCTTTTTAACACACTCCTATTCCCTGTGTGCTGGGGAAACACGAGTTCATTTGGGCTTCAGAAAAATACCTTTAAAAAAAATCCCCGCCAAAACAAAGCCAAACAAACCACATCACAGCCCTTTACCAGACGGTGACAGAGCAAGTAGCTGTTGGGTATGATGTGATGCTTCAGCGTGGCAAAACGAGCTGCGTGACAGAAAACAGTCAGCCCAGCTTCCACATCAGTATGATAACTTTGGTAACTACTACAAAAGAAGAAAAAAACCCCACAAACGACTTGGAAATTTTCAGGGGGCGACAGACATACAGAAGGTTCACAACTCCCTTCCAAGGGGAGAACTTGCAGCAGGGGGCAGAACACACAGGCCCAAGGATTTTTGAATCCTTCTGCTCACAATCCTCACCTGTTTGGGGATGAGCAGAGTGGAGAAGGGAGCAGCTGCCACTACCCTGAGCTGTGCAACCTGCAAGCCTCTTTCCTCCAGAAATAACTGCTGAGTGGTTCTCTTGCCCTTCCCTGTCCCCCTGGCTCTGCTGGCACCAGTGAGTCCTCTCTCCCAACAGCCTTGCAGCCACCGCTTCCCACTGGGATGAGCTTGGAGTGACTGCCCAGTCACCTGGGGCCGACAAACGGCCTGGGCCACCTGGTTAATCCTCACATCTCCCTTTTCCTCGAGCTGCTGCTTACCCAGAAGGTGAAGGAAAACCCCAGACTGCGCAGATCCCTCACCGGGAATCCTTCTGGGGAATGAGAGAAAGGGGTAACTGCACTCCTGCCAAAAATCCTAACCCAGCCTGACCTGGCTGGGGGAAGTCAAGATTCTCTGGATCCGGAAAGTGGGACACCAAGGGTCACAGGTAATTTTCCTGGAGCTTTGCAGATCTTTCTGCCTGTGGCTTTTCTGTGTTTTAAAGTTTTTACTTCTTTTCAAGGACAAAGATACCCAAGTTCAGGGAGCTTTCTGCAGCACCCCAGAAATGCCAGCATGAACGTGCAGGCTCGGCAGCGCTACCTCATCACAAAAAGGCACCAGAAGATGACAGAAACCATCCCAGGCTATCACAACACCCTGCCGTGCCGCACAAACGGAGAAGAAATAGCAGGGATGCAGAAGGAATAAAATAAAGAGGAAAAAAGAGGAAGACAAAGCGCTGACAGGAGCGGCCGGCAGAAAATTCAAGCCCGAAGCACCCAGAGCAACGCCTCGCACACCGATATTCAACGCCGGCGAGGGAAGGCGGCGGGGGGTCGCAGCACCAGCTC